TTTCATTGAATCTTACATAAACTTCAATTTTTAGATATCTTCGCAAAGAAACACTAATCAGAGAGAGAGATAACTGAAAACCAAGGAGCACTGGACAGTTATTCCGTTCTATTTTAGGACTTTTTACCGGGAACGCACCCTCAACACTGCACTGGTGATCAACAAAGTAACAATTAAAGGGTGATTAAGTTCTCTTCCAAGTGACTGTGAATAGCCAATAAGCTTGCTGTGGTAACCTGAAAGTTTTGAGCTCGATCTTTGATAGAGTCGTGGATAAGCACTGCTATAGAATCCCAAATTAGGCATGAAATAGCTATCAATTACTCGCCCACTGGTTTTCAATAATCGCTCTCCCTCTCTGTATCTGGCTGATGTTGGTGGTTCATGACGAAATGTAACAAGCGATGCTTTTCATTATACGGAAATTTTGAGTCTTCATTTTCTTGTTGTTGTTGAGTGACTGTTCGTAATAACCTTGTAATTTGAGAGACTAAAAGAATGTTCAGAGTTGGGCATTATTCTATAAAAAAATACGACTGTACAACATGTGAAGATGGTTTCGTCGATAAAGTAGCATTTTCTCCTCTGAATTGTCTTTTACTTCCTTTATGATGAAGGAAAGAATTGAAAGGAAGAAACAAATACAAACTAATTAATTAATTCATTTTAAGTACACGAACTGAATCAAAGTGATTTTTTTGTAAACATAACTACGCCCAAGTGGTCTCTAGTGGGTAACGCTTTGGCATTTGGAACTACGAACGCACTGGGTTCGAGCCACACAGCGACACATCATCACTCACTGGGGAGTGCAGGTACATCCACTGCCTGACGATCCCCAAACAGGATGAAATTCGCGTTATCCTGGATTCCACTGCTAGTCACTCACCATCCACCAATTAAACTATAACTACATCTCCTTCGTGAATATATTATGTATGTTGTAACCCGATAATTGTTCGAAAAATCCATCCTGAAATATTTCCTTACAATAATATTGATAGTTTTATCTGGGTGTGTCAACTATCTTTGTGATTATTATCATCATCATCCGTTCTTTCCTCTTGGACTGTACGTGATTCTTCTGGCATTTACAATATGATATGCTGACTTCATCCTCATTATTGTGTCTTCGTTCCTGTTCAATATGCAATTTAAGTGCATTTCTTTTCAAGATTGTGCGATACATTGATAATGTGTTGTTTAACGACTGCGATTTTGTTCGAGTGGAGCAAGGTGACTCCAAAGGCTGAAGTGTCTGCAAAAAGCGTTGGTGTGTGATTCTTGTGATTATATATATATGTATTGCGAGGGGAGAGACGAATGATAAAATATAATCTCACCCCATGAAACTTAACGTACAAACATACATGCACACCTACTAGTTCGGTGAAAATCATAGCCATTCATATGATATATTTCTGTTAAGTACACACATAAATGCTTGCATGTATCAGAAGAGAATTTCAGTCGGTCAAGCAGAACAAGACAATTAGATTTAATCACGAGTTTTCACGTAAAATGTCACATTATTATTATTATTGACCTCTTTTAAAGTAAATGGAATTTGACGTTTTAGTCATGTTAGATAAATGACCTATTTAGATAACACCACAACACGATGTATTATTGTTGTTTCCCTTAATTCCTAGAGAAACATAGGGCTTCAGGCGCGTGTTCATTGCGTTCTCTTATCCGCCAGTGTTTCCACCTGTCTCCAAGTCTGCTCACATGCTTTGATCTCCTCTTCACATGGCCAGCCAATCAATCTCCATTTCTTCCTATCTATTTGTTGCACAATCGGTTCCTACTGAGTTGGTTTGTTCATTGCCAGAGATCCCTCCCTGTTGCTGATCTTTTCTGACCGGCCGGCCATCTAATCTTGAGTAGTACTGAGTGAAAACAGCTGTCGGTGGTCTGTAGTTTGTTTGATGTGCTCTTTATGATGAAGTGCCAAGTCTAGGATCCATATAGTAGCACTAGCTTCACTCTGGAGTTGAAAATCTGGATTTCATTTTGATCTTCATGCTGAGTACTGTTGACCTCCACACAGACTTGAGAGTAATGAAAGATTGTCTTGCTTTCCCGATCCTCGCCGCTTTGATATCCTCGTCAGTTCTGTCCGCTTGTAGTTGAAACGATGCTTCGCAGGTAGGTGGGTATGTAGGTGAAGGAGGTTGTTTCTTTCATGTTCCTCCCATTTATGCTGGATGAATTTTGTCTGTTGTTGTTATTGCTGTTGGTAGTGTTGCTCAAGAATCTTCATCGCCTCTGTTCACCTGAAGTCCTATCTCTGATGCTTCTGCTGCCAACTTTTGGCTTTTCACTTGCATATCTTCCGGTTTGTAGAAAATCAGACATATGTTGCATCGGCGAAGTCCAGATCCACCAAGTTTTTTGTGAGGGTCCATTTTATGCCTGTCTCCTCGCTGCCCTACTCTGTGTTGCACTATCCAATCTACTGCAATCAGGAAAATCATTGGTGATAGTAGGCAGTCAACCTGCCTTGTCTTACTCCCGTCTTCACTTCGAAGGATTCTGTGAGTTTCCCATTGTGGATTACTTGGCATGCAGCATTGTCGTAAATCTGTTGGATGAGATGTATAATTGTCGGTGGTGCCCCTTGATAGTAGCGAAGTAGTTTCTAAATCACCTCTCGATCGACGTGGTGCTGTCGAAGGCCTTTTCAAAGTCGATGAAGTTGAGATAGAGAGGTGACTGCCATTCCAAGCTTTGTTCAATGATGATCCGTAGTGTGGCAATTTGATCAACACAGGACTTGTTTCTCCTAAATCCAGCTTGTTCCGATTGGAGTTTCTCATCGAGTGTGGCGTGTTTGATTATCTCCAGGATGATGCGGCTCAGTATTTTGCCTGAGATAGACAGGAGCGTAATTCCGCGCCAGTTCTTACATTGACTTAAATCTCCTCTCTTTGGCAGTTTGAGTAAGTAGCCTTTCTTCCAATCCTCAGGTACTTTGTCCTCTTTCTACACCTACTCCAGCAGTGGCGTCATCAACTCCGCTGTTGTTTCTGAGTCCATTTTCAATGCTTCTACTGGGATTCCATCTGTTCCTGCTGCTTTTGCAGCTTTTAGCATCATGACTGCCTTCATGACTTTTGTTCTCGAATATATAAAGGAAATTTAGAGAAATATGATTGACGCAACTACTTACAAAAATATTAATCGTAATAAATAAGCGTGTCAATAGCAAAAAAAAGTGCAAATCCGTGCTAACTGTTATCCTAAAGTCATGAATTTATGAAGCAGTTGATAAACATTAAAAATATACGTTTATCCAGGTGCCTATGCAACGACTGAAACTAATACATTGTGGTGCGAACTGAGGAAACAGATTTTTGCTCCCCACCGCCTATGTCTGATAAAATTTCCTTGACAGATGCCCAGTCAAGAAACTCTCCAAAGACAGCAAAATGACGATTACTCATAGTTAGACCTATGGTTGTTCCATTCAACAGTGATAGAAGTTACCGTGGTAGAGTAGAACTCCATTATGGATAAGATTTTATTTTGATAAACTGTCACACAGTTGTGTTATACAGTAATATTTATTGATGTGACCACGTTTCGAGCACAATTTATTACTATTGCTAATAATCATATCAACGCACTACTCACATAACTTCCTTGTTCCGTTTATATAAAATGAGAAAAAATTGATTAGATATTTGAATAAAATCAATATAAGACTTGCATGAAGTAGGAAGAAAGATAAAGTACATTCGGAATGAATATTAGTCTTATCAATAAAATACAATAAGATGCATTAACACACAATAGACTGGGTAGGACAGAGTCAAAATTCTGAAAAGTAAAATAGGTAGATGGAAAGAGAGATTGATTTCTGAATCTGGGTTCATCGAGTCTACAACCAACACACGCAATAGAAGTGACTCATCACATAAAATACGTGCCGCCAAATATGATATCGTGCAATCTTTATATTCAGACGTGCGTCATTAAAGTCTTTTGTCGAAATGACTTCTTGTCTTACCTGAGGAGACATAAGGTGAAAGCTGCGAGTAAAAAAGACTGCTCACAGTCTGACAAAATTCCTTTAGCAAATGTGTTGCATGAAATCAACAAGTGCCTGTCAAAGACAATATCAACGATATGGCCTAATGGGTACCACTCACTCTACTAACAGTCTTCAGAATCCTAGGAGGTATGTCATTGACTTTTTAAGCAACCCAGGAAAGAATAGGTAAGATGCACGAGTTGACAAACTGTAATAGGAGGAGGAGGGGTTGAGTTATGCCTGAATGCCTTAACTTATTAATGCGAAAAGCCAGACGAAATATTCTTTTAGAAATCACTGAGACATGGGAAGACCAAGATACGTCAGAAGAAAGAAGTAATCCAAGATACTTAGCGTCAGACTTGATTTCTATATCCTCACTATCATCAATTAAACAACGGTCATAGGAATAAACAGCTTCATTTAACTTTCTTTACATTGGAAAGTGAAATTGACAGTCTGACATTTAGAAGGAATTAGTTTAAGACCATTTACTAACTCCAGATAATAGAAAACTGGTCATCTTAGTACAATCTAGCTGGTGGTAGTAGTAGACAATGGGAGATTTTATCTACCGAAATCTTCCAAGATATAAATAAGTAATGTTGAAGGTATAAAAATTAAAAATTATTAGGAACACTCCGTTGTTTCTTCATTCAAAGTGGAGTTTTTCAACATTTTGCTGACCTTCTCATGAGTTTTATGTAATTCTGTCAACATTCCTCAATGCATCATCAATGCAAATTTCAGCAGTTTTCCAAATCTTAAGGAATACAGCACTATTTACCAGTTGTAATGAAGTCTGTTTAAGATTTTTGAACAAAATAATTCCAATAAATAGGTGTGATTTCATTTTCTAATGCTTTGGGTAATACTCGTTTGCTAGTGCGAATAAAGTTTACGTGTAACTCTTTTAATCACCTGTTTATTATATTTCCTGTGTTTATAACATCTTACTTAGGTTCTTGTGAAGTTTTTTCAAGTTTAATTGGTGCTCGTGGTAAAGATGTCCTATATGTTGGTGATCATGTTTATGGTGATATATTGAAGTCGAAGAAGACTGTCGGTTGGCGGACGTATCTAATTATACCTGAATTGGCGAATGAAGTCTACGTATGGAAAAGAAAGAAATCGTTATTTGATGAATTACAGAGGATTGATAACAATTTAGAAACAATTTATCGGTGAGTTTTTTTGAAAGAGAACTAATTAGTGACTACTTATATATACTACTTATTTGCTGCTTTGTATACAAACATATCGATTGACCCAATGATGATTGAGGTCCATTTATGACTGGATGGTGCATTGCTGTCTCAGTATACGGGAAAATAAGAATGAAAGCGATAATAGTGTGGGAGGGGGTGATGGGGAGAGGATAAAGTTTTAAGGATGATTGAAACAAACGTAATGCTACCACTAATACTGCGAACAACATCATCTCTTTATTTCAAACACAAGTAGTAAGTGTAGAGAATGGATAATAAAAATAATTTTTCCTTCACGTTCCCAGTGGAATATAGGGCTTCAAGCTAGTGGCTTGAAGTTTCTGTAGCAGTGTTTAATTTTTACAGGATGGGGTTGCTAGCTTCATGCCCAACCTTTCCTCTTTACCAGCATTATTTCTGGCTCAGTGGGGTAAAGGAGAATGAAGCTTTCTGCATTTTAACTGATTAAGAAATGCCCATTAAAATTTTTAAAAGAATGGATACTGAACAAAAAGTACTCTTTTCGATAACTCCTCCATCATCAGGCTCTACATTTATACATACATTATAGTGAATGAATGAATGAATTAGTGTTATGAACAACATTAATTTCGCTGTTTAAATAACATCGAATCAATAGCAACATCAATAGATTACAGCTAAATAGCATCAACATAAAATAAGCTGAATGTCAGAAAAATAAGGAAAGATAATATTACAAATTCATGAATTTATAGTCTCTACTGAAGGCCAGCCAGGGCAGTAGTAGTGGCTGCCTGGATTTTTTTTCTTTCGAACACAGGGCGCTGGTTGTTTGAGGCGAATCGCAATAGCCTCTACTGTTTGGAGCATGCGGTACATGGATGATTTTGGCAATTTATTTGGCACCCGATAGATGATAGACAAGAATTCTTCGATGCTGGCTGGCTTTGTGGCCGGTTTGCACCAGATGGTCTTGTATCGAACTGTTAATGTTTTTCACTAAACCTTAACTTAGCCATAGTGGGATGTGTTCCCGAGCACGCAAAAATGATACTCATCAAGAGTGTAAATTCTTTTTTTTTTAAAGTTAACTAACTTTTTTACACCAAAGATATCCAATTGCTAAGCTAATATCAATTTCTGGATCTTCCATCATTGTTTGAATCGCTTTAGCATTTGATGGTATTGTCCAACAACTAGGATGAGTTACTTCGTCACAACATTCCCAACGTTTTGAATCATATTTAGTGCAAAAATCTTCACGGATTGCATCTCTAAATTCTCTAAATGAAGGCTCTATGCTAGAATTTTTATCAAATATAAGATTTTCATATTTTGACCAAAATTAACTTCCTGTAGCATTAGCATCCACCGCTTTATATATATATATATATATCTGGAAACAGAAACGTTCCCCAAATACCTCTTGGAAACCCCCTACTGTATGTTCTTAAAAGACTTCCAGCATCTGATACAAAAACTCCTTCAGAAGCTCTGCGGAAAGAAAGTAGTTGTGCCACACCCAGATTTTGTATGAATCGATACCAGGATTTGAGGACATCGGTATCGCAGTAGCAAAATAGGATATAAAAATTGAGAACCAGCAAATAGTGGAAATTCATAACAATAAACGAATTTAAGATCTAATTCTGCATTTACACATGTAACAATTTAGCTCGATATATAAATATATATCTAAATCCACAAAATAGTAAAAAACAATAAAGCCATGAAAACTGAAAGTTAGTAAGATGTAATAAATGGTTAAAAAGTAATACGTACAAGAATAATTCTGGTTATAATTGCTGTTTATGTTCGTTGATTTAAAAAATTCGCAAGTTGTTTACTGACATTAGCCTCTTCCTTCACACACACACAAGGCCTATGCTATATGTGGTATGGTTGAGTTCTTATGTTGTACTGTATAAGGCATGAATTCTTATAGAATTTCTTCTTCTGATTTCACTGCCGAAGTGATATAAGGAGAACGTTGTGAATTAAGAGGATGGCCGGTACCAGATGTAGCGAGAATTAAAATACCTATCAACAACACTGTCAAATTAGTCGATTCAAAGACACACACACCACCATTCACCGTACTTACAGCAATCATCTATGTTTTTTACGTAATATAACACATAGTCGTTTTGAGAAGACCAGGCAAGAATAAGGGGATACATGAATTAATAAATTGCAACAAAAGAGGTTGAGTCATTCCCCGAAAATTCCCATCTTTCTTACGCAATAAGTCAACTGAAATATTTTTGCACAGAAATCAATAGGATATGAGATGACTAACAAAGACTTGAAGAGGAACCCAATGCCAATTAGAGGTGATATTCGATTTATTTCCTTTCATCACAATGCCATCTACATTATAAACACTATAGGACTGAATCAGTTCACGCAGGTCTTGTTCACGTCTGAAACTAAAGTCAACAGAATGACGCATAGAGGGATTTAGTTTTGAGATGATTTGAGTGAGATCGTTGGTTAACCTCAAAAATAAGAATCTGTTCGTCACCATATCAGAACAAACTAATACAGAAATTCCTGGAACAGAAATTGTAGGATCATCGGCATATTATACTCCACACAGGTACAGATACTGAAAGTATCTGCATTCCATTGTCCTAATTAAGCGGCTCAGTTCAATGATGGTATTTTGAAGTTTCTGTTATTCGATGTGTATACATCAAACCATTACCACCTTTTATGGAGGGTGATCAGGATGTGAGAATTCCGCCGTCATAAATGTTTAAGTTTTATAATTGTGATGAGTAAACAACTTATTCATAAATTCATAAAAGTAAGAATATGAATCTACAACCAAAGCAGCCCAACATGCCAACAATTCCTAAAAAGGAAGGCCTTATTCTTACAAATTCAGTTCCTTGGGGACAACATCAGTGAGATAGTAACACAAAACCTTGGAAATGCGGTAAAAAGAGCAGCCCCTGTTGCTGAATCCCTCTGTGTCTTCAAAACCACCGCTCTTTTGCGTTCGGAAGTAAAAGATAAACTGCCTGATTTCGCCTCTTCCATATGTTTTTACCAATTTAACTGCTCCTGTGAAGTGAGTTACATAGGCCGCACAATTAGGGGTGTTTGTCGTCAGATTTCCGAACATCACCCTGCGCGGTTGGTTAAGTAAAGGACAAACAAAATCTATTCGCAACGCTATTCTATCTCGTCTTGTGGATACAGAGCACAAGATTGATGTAAACTAGGCAGCTTTCAAAGTCATTTACCGCATACCAACAAATCTAAACTTTGCTTTAAGAGTTCGATTACTAAATATTACATAGGCTGTTGGGATCCATACTGAGAAGCTTAATTTATGCGTTCAAAAGAAGCTAGTTTAGACATTATCATTACCTAGGTTCGAGTGATCCTTAATGTATTTTGTGGAAATTTCCATAATTTTAGTTGATATTCTAATTCCTCTTATATCCTTATCATCATTATAATTTAAGTATCTTTATTATTATTATTATTATTGTTCCCTTGGGTTCCTAGTGGAACATGGGGCTTCAACTGCACGTCACAACTTGCCACTTCTGTCTTGCTTCTGCTGTACTTTTCACCTGCATCCATGTCAGTCTGATATCTATGATCGGCCTGCAAAATTTGGGTTACCGATATCCATATTGAAAATTCCATACTTGTACCAAAAATACAGTGTGGAATCAAGCTGTAATCAAAATAAAAAATATAAAAAATAAATAGTCCATACTGTTTCAGCTCCTCTTCACACGATCTCCTCCATGTCACCATTGCACTGGCATCCCACTCGCTGCTTCCCTTTTGGGTTCCACTCGAGCAGTGGCCTGACACGCGAGTGTCTAATCCATCTCAATCCACTTTCCCCTGCATATTTGTTGGTTGGCGATTGCTTCTTGTTTTGTTTGTTCCCATAGTTGGTGATTCTTTCTGGCCCGGCCATCTGATCTTCAGTATAGAGCCACCGAAGACAGTTGTTGATAAAGGTCTGATCTGCAATAGCCTGTTGGAAATATTCTTTGTGACCCACCCACCAACTTTGTCATCCGTTCCGTATAGAACAGCCGACTGACTTGATGTCTGTATTGAAAATCCGACTGGATTTTGTTGTTGATGCTGAGTGAGTGACGAAGATTTCCAGATTAGATTGGTTTCAGGTTGATGAATGTGTGTGTTTCTCGCCCGCCTTCCCGATTCTCGCTCGATTTGACATCCTCGTCCGTTCTGACTGCCCGTAGTTGAGACAATGCTCAATGCTAGATAAGTGAATGAATAAAGTAACCTCTTTCAAATCCCTCCCGTTGATGGTGATTGGCGCTTGATGTTGGTGCTGTTGTTTTTGTTGGTTGGTTAGTTATTTTCATAACCTCCGCCTTGTCTATGTTCTATATCTATGCTAGTCAGTAGACACCTTTCCCTCCTTCCAGACATTTTGCAATAATGGAATCACCCTAGGCATCTTTAGTGAACTGTGGTAATTCTATTGATCTTACTTTATAAGTCGATATTATTTAACAAACACTAATATTGTTATTGACTATTCTGTGTATATAAAAATGCATATATATAATTGTAGAAAGAGAAGGGGAAATTATCGAAAGAGGGATATTCTCTGCTCATTTATTTTGTGTTTTATTAATGTCTGTTGTATAAGTCTTGTCAGTATGTGTAGAAAGAACTCTATGAGTGTGTTAGTTAATGTTATTGTAAAATCTAGTTATCTAATCTAAGAAACTACTTACTATCTTATGGATTATTTTAGTTCTAAAAGCGATCAAAATCAGACAATTAACCAGTGAAACTGTTTTACTGGTTTCTGTTGTTGTTGTTGTTTTTTTTGACTTAATAAATTTCAGATAAATAGTCTTCAACTATAAAAAATGTCACTGTTAGCATTTTATTCAAGTGATTGAAGTTCAAGGCAATCAACCATGAGCTATTCATATGATTAATGTTATATCATATGATCTTTTTCTTCCGGCTTGAGAAAA